CGGATGGGATGTGGCATCCCGAGTGGCAGTTTTAACAAGACAGCTCATGTGTTTGCTCAGCACCCAGGACTTACTCTAAATACGTAATTTGTTATTAAAAGCCTGGTGAGATTTGCCATTCAACACGGGCTGAAGGTGGGGTTGTGGTGCCTGGTGTCCTCATCTACCCCACACCTGCGAGTGCCTGCCCAGGCCTTCACAAATGCAGCCAAGTGGCCCAAGAAAAGGGGAATTATCTTCACTATCAGCAGATTTACACACTGACCCATATAACTAAATTGCTTGCTGGAAAAATCAACTTTTCCCAAACACCAACAGGGTTTGATCTAATACCGGCACCAGAAGAGCTCATGACCCAACATCACCTCCTGATCCTTCACTCTGAGGCTTTACAATCGTGATCTCCATCCCAAGTTCATCATATTTTAAATCATGGACATCCAAGCTGCCTGTCAAGCCTGAGAACACAACCTACACCATGACAAAACAAACATTCCCTCTCAAAATCTGCCCTACAGCTTTCCCATAGTGCTTTGAAAGAACGTGCAACTGTTTGGGCCAGAATTGTGCTGAAATCCTAGACTACCACAGGACCAATATTGTCTCTGGTTTCCCCACTGTGACCTATTTAATCAATTTTATTTTTTATCTTCATCTTATAGTTGCAAGCTTTTCAGAAATGTTCCCTTTCGTGCTGCTTCTGTACAGGCCCAAGGTCCCAGTCATTTACTGGGGCCTCTCAGCACTACAGAGAAATAATAATTAAATAAAGCAGTTTGGGGGTAAACAACTGGCTGTCACTTGGTGACAGATTAATCCTTTGGCACTTCAAACTTCGTGCTTTGCTGTAACACAAAAGTAAAGCATTGCAGATTGCCCAACTACAGCTGTCATGGAGAGAACGTGCTGTGCTGGTGTGGTTGGCCTCAGGGCATCTCCTCAAAAATCAGAGCAAAATCTGGCACAGCAACCAGCTGAAAGACTCCGTAGCTTAGAGCGAAGGTTTGGATTACAAAGAAGAGAACAGCACCAACTTTCAAACCCTGTGTCATTCTATAGCAACAAAACATTTCTCACTGCATCAGTTGCAGGTAAATTACTGTCGTGCAGCCTTATGTACTTCTCAGGCCAAATATACAAAATCCTAAGGTTTTACCAAGGCAGGCAAGGAGCAGCACCTCAGAGATGCTCCAGATGAAGGCAACACTCCCCAGATACAAAAAGAAAGTGAAAAGCAGAAAGAGAAGCCCTGAGAACACTATATTCTTCAGCTTCCTTTCCCAAAACCTCGGCAGTTTGGTAGAGCCAGCTCCATGTCAGCAGACTTGTAGCTCAGTCAGGATTTCCAGCACAGCAAAACACTTTCCCATTTGCTTTAGATCCTGCTTTGTGGGCTTATAACCTCATGAACCCACAGCCTGTTGCAGTCACTCTGCTTTTGCCTGTTTTATTTGGACTCCTGTCAGTAACCTTTTCTTCCAAGTGGGACTCCCAGGCCATTTATCCCTGTCATCATGGTACAGCAGCCAAAAGTCCTTTTTTCCCCCCAAATAGAAGCTTTTTGGCTGCTGTGTCTCTCTCCAGAAATGCAACGTTTCAGGTTGCCTGCTGCTTTTCAGACTTCTCAAGACTCTGTGTGGGCTGTGAGCAGAAATTTCAGGATTAAAAAACAAGAATCAAGTAATTCCCCCTGACAAAAGCCAAAACTATCCTTCCTGTATCAGCTCATTGGTGCAGTGGGAATCCTGAAAGCAAGAGCGTGCAGGCACGAGTGCCAAGTGAATTTCACACCATGTTTCAAGTCCAAACTGAGGGCCATTCTGGCCTCTCTGCTTGCAGATTAAAAAGCATGGGTGGAGGGTGTTTGCCTGATAAACTGCAGAGACCCATGTCCTCCACTGACCCACAGAACCACTGTGAGGAAGGAAATGGCTCTCCAAACGTGTTTCACAATGTGCCTTAACTAAGTCCTGGAGAAGAGATGTTACAGCAATTTCTTATAAATCAGCCTCTATGCCAAAGTAGCCAGCAAGGGTCATCCTAGGACAGTCTGGTGTCCAGCACAGCCTGCATTATCCAGAAAGATTAATTAATCAAGCACCTTTTCTTAAAGAAGATTAATTTGAAGCCTACCAAATGCTTCAGTTGCAGCTACAGGTTTCCTTTTGAAGATGGTTGATCCAACCTCCCTACAGGGTCCAGGGCTCAGGCTTTTCCCAAAATGTAATAGAGATGTAACTCTCAACTGAAGAAGATGTAGCAGACCCACCTCTAACCCAGTGCCCAAGCTCAGCTCTCTAGCAGGGAAGCAATCCTTGTTCCATCCTTGGCTGGCCTCCATGGCACAGCCTGCTTGGAGAGCTCTCCTCCTGTCAGGGCTTTCCTGGGACTCATCTAACTCCTTTTGCATAAACTCTGGAAGCATGTTTATAAGAGGGGATTAATTTAGGCACAGAACCTTCTCCATCCTTGACAGCAAAGGCTCAAAAGAAGCTTTCTCCATTTCCAGGTGCACAATAAACCTAGAGACTCGCAGCTCAAAGTTTATGTAACAGCAAAGTTTGGGTGGCCACTGTTGTTGAGGTCCCAGTGACTGCAAACATTCCTCTTTGTTTTTCAGCCCTGCCAGGCTCCTAACATCACATCTGTGAGACTCCAAAACTGGAGCTGCAGAAACAGGCCCACATCTACACTCTGGACAGACAGCACAGCCTCCTCCTCCCCTTCTTTGGGAGGCTTTAAGTGGTGTGAGGAGAGATGGGAGGAATTAGGAAGGAGAAAGAAACAAGTTACCATGTACAAGGCCCCCTTCTTCATGGCTCATGTGCATGTTCTTAACAGAGCAATGATTCCTTGTTTTGAATTAAAAGCAGAATTGCTTGTGTTGTTTCTTGCTCTTGTAAGAGCTCTTGCTCTGTTTCATCACAGCCATGGAAGCCACTGGACTTTTTCTGTCCACAGGACAGTGAATCACCTCCAATAATTTCCCCATCCTTTCTCTCCCTGGCTTCAGCTCACCCCTTTCCCTTAACTACCATCCCTTCTTGTCTTTTATTTCCATGAGCCTCTTTTGTTTGCTACCACGTGGTGGTGCTGCCGTTAAAAATACCGTGGAGAGAACATCAACAACAGCACCTGACCATGAGCTGGACAGGGTGCTGGCTGGGGGCCCGGCGCGTATAGATGGAGAAGTGTGAGTTCATGATGAGAAAACAAGAGGAGCAGCCAAACGTCCTCAGATCCTGGCAGCAACTACAGCTCAGGCTGAGCCCTGACAGAGCACCTCACACTTCTGAGAAGCAGCTGAGCCACTCGGGCTGCACCGTGGCCCTGAAGCTTGCTTTGCAAGAGCTCTATCAGGGACTTGTCAGGGTACCACACACTGCTCCCAGCCACAAAAACTGGAGGGAACTATCTGCTCACCAAGGTTTCAGCCCAGCATCATTCATGGATAGGCACTGTCAGGCTACCAGCTGTCACCCAAGTCCCAGCCCAGCTCTGACCACAGACAGGACATTAATTTTCACCAACATCTCAGAACCTTGCCCAGTTGTTCAGCCTCAGTTCAAGCCACCACAAAAGGAACAGGCAAAAATGAGCTCTGCTGCCCACATTAGCCTGGACCCCCTGTCCCTGAGCAGCCCAGAAAGCCAAAGGAGATGTCAGAGACCCAAACACAAACCAATTCCTCAGCCACCTTGGAGTTTTTCTCCTGAACGTTAGCAAGACTCAAGAACACAGATTGTTCTGGAGAAACAGCCTGAAGGTTTCTATACGTCCTGTCCAAGCCCCAGACATGTATGGTGGTACACCAAGGCCTTAGGACAGCTGGCTCCAAGCCCTTCCACTCCAGGTCACAGATCTCTATAGTGGTTGCTTAGTGAATCATCCCTCACAACGACCTCAGAGTTCCCAAGACCCTGCAGAACATGGCTCCAGGCTCCTGGTGCACTGGGGATCAAGGACTATCTGTGTCCTATCTGCTTCAGGTACGTTTTGTAAAGCAGCATGCAGGACTGCAAGCACAGGCTCTGCCAGGAGGAGTAACAAGGCAGCACTCTGCCTCCTCCCCTAATTTGGGTTCTCTCTACGTAGCCACAAAGCACTTGTTTTTTGCTGGGACACCTGCAAAGTGTTCACTAACTGCTGGACCTGTGGTTTTTTTCAATTCCCTTCCAGCTATTCTCCAGGGAAAACACACTCCCAACAGCACATGTCCAAAGGCAGCCAGTTCCTTTATGCCCCAGGAAGGTTTTACTGACCTTAAGAGCCTCTGAGAGACCCTTACTGGAGAGCAAGCATGGCTTGAGGACACAGGGTAGAGAAAGAGAGCAATTTTCTCATTTCCAGGTTTTCTCTGCCCACAGACAATCCCTTGGGAATTAAAATGTTCTTCAGTGCCCTGAGTACCTGCTCCAGAGAGGAGGGACAGGGTTTGTCCATCAGCCAAAGCCATGCAGCAGTGCCAGTGCCAGTGCAGGGAGGACCCAGCCCCACAAAGCAGCCACCAGCTCCTGCAGGGGCTGGGAGGCACCATTTGATTTTCGTGTTAGTTCATGAAGTTTTGGATGCTCCAGAAAATCCCTTTGCCCCTGCCTAGGGCAGAGGCTGAGCTGAGACATCCCTGCAGCTGTGAAAAAAAACAGCCTAAAAGATGCAGCTTCACTCAGGCAGCAGGGATGGTTGCTTGGGCAAAGCTGAGCTTTGTGAAAAAAAAAGATACTAAAGGAAAAGTTGACCTAGAACCGTCCTTGGGCGAAAGGGGCAGGAAATGGTCAAGTGGCCAAAGAAAATGTGGATCAACCATTGCCAGGCAGGATTTAGAGATCATTTAGACTATCTGGAGAAAGAACCGAGCCAGGCCAAGCAGGGTGGTGGGGCAGAGGAAAGCAAGGCAGAGAGGGAAGGAATCCAGGAGGAGGATTTAAGCAGAGGAGCAGGTGGGCCAGGGGGGGTTGCAGCCAGACTGGGGCAGAGCTGCCCCTCAGAGCTGTACTCACTCAGGCACTGCAGACCACTTTTATTCACAAGAGGTTTGGCACACAGTGAGCAGCTGGTGCAACTGGAGAAAACCCCTGGCACAAGCTGGTGCCTATTGATCTCTTTCCACCTCTCTTTTGGCTCCTTTGTCTCTTTCTCCTTCTCTCTCTCTTTTGGCTGCTCTTTGTTCTTACCCTGGAAGGAGACAAACAGAGCTTGGTTACAGGCCTCAGGCTGCCCATGTGTTCCTTTTGCTGCTGGTAAAAATGAAATGCAGAAAGTTGGTGTGAGCAAGTACAGTGAGCAGCTCTGTGCCCAAACCTTTGGGATCATAATGCTTTTCCCTAATGCCTCCCTAAGGCTTGGGCCAGGCCCTCTAGGCAAGGTCCACGCATGAGGACAGGCAGGACACAGCACTGCAGCAGGAGCTGTGCCTCTGCAGGCCCTGCTGATCACCACAGTGGGTGCTCCAGGCACTGCTCTCCTCTCCTGGTCTGCACAACTTGAGCTGAGGCAGCACAAGAGCAGCCAGAACGTGCCCTGGAGAAAGGTGGGCTGAAAGTTGGGGGCCACTCTGTCCAGTACGTTATGCTAGGGCTCACAGTGCATCTGCTGACCAATCTACAGGCCTCAGGCACCCAAAACAATCCAACTGACGAGGTCAGATCCCCTTTTTTTAATTGAAAAATTCAACAGTTGGAAACATAATACAAAATAAGCACCTCTCCCTCACCTTATCCTTCTGCCAGGACCCAGTGACTCGGCTCCGCAGGGAACTCAGACGTCTCATCACCTTCGTGCCCTTCTCTGCTTTATCACTCTTTTCACTCTCCTTGTTTCTGAAAAAATACCAAAAACTCAGGGGCAGTTAACTGACCAAGCACAAGTCAGGCAGGTCCCTGATGAACTTCATCTGAAGCATGACTTTAGGACCCCATCTCTCAGCTTTCCACCTCCTGGAGGATCTGGTTTGGCATCACTTGTGTCATTTATTAATGGGACACTTGCAAATAAGGGGCTGAACTTTCAAATTGCATGTGTAAGTCCTGGCTGACTGTGGTTTTGTTCAGTGTGAGGCACAACAAGGCCCTGATCCTGGCTACACCCACTGCAGACACCAGGGTCCTGCAGACAGTATTAGCAAGGCTGTAGAACTTAGATGGAGGAGGCTCAAAATCAGCCTGCTCTGGGGACAGAGAGTGTGTGGGTCACTGTCTGTCTCACTTACTCATTAGACAGGAACTCAAACCAGGTGATGTTCTGCTGGGAAGAACTGCTGCCTTCTTGCACACAAGCTCTCTTCTTTGCCCTGTGTGGGGAGGAGAAGATCAGACACACAGCAAAGAACAGGAGAGCAGAGCTTCTGGGTCAGCAGAAAGGCTCATCTTTGGAGGTGGGGCAGGAAGATGTTTAGAGTTACAGAAAAAGCAGATGAAATGCTCCTTCTCTTTGCAATTCTACTCTAGTTTAACTGGAAAAATACAGTGATTCTGGTACCCTGGGGATTTGCCCCTCAGGGAACCAAGTGTTATTTGCCAGGTGGGTCCTAGGCAGATCCGTGACCTCCCCACCCACGTCCCTCTCTCAAACACACTTACCCATGATATTGTTTCAGCTCCTGAAGTACCTGCTGGACAATTAGCCTACCAGGGATAGGGCAGAAGAAAAGCAAGAGATTAGAAAATGTCCTTGCAAAGACATTCTGCACCCCCCAGAGCATCAGGTCCTGGTTTACAACCAGCCACTCAGCTGTGCCCCAGCACTGAGTGGGATCTCCTTTCCTGTTGCAGCTCCAGTAGCTCAGACACACTCAAGAACCTTCACCAAGAACCTTCACCACCTCAAAACAGCCAGGACTGACAATACCTACACATGGTCTGGGGACACGTGGTCCTTCTCCAGCATCTCCAGAGCAGGGGGTTCAACACCTGGAACACAAAACACTCTCAGCAGGTATCCTGGTTTGCCTTTGGAGGGCACCATGTTGCAAGCTATGGGACTGGACCCCCTTAATCCTGCTGAGCTCCCACTCTGCCTTTGATGGAGGGGGAGAAGTTATGGAAAGAG